AAAGTAAGTGATTGGCAACCCTTGGAGAGCACATGGTCATGTGCAACTACACGAGTGTTGGTTTATTTTTAATGTTTCTCTTTTTCCTAATTCACCTTTAAATACTGGCATTTCCCAAAACAGCACTCCTCACATTGTGGTTTTTGAAAAGAAACTGAAAGTAAATATTCTCATTTTAACAGTGAGTAGACAGATGAACAGTGCTTAAAATGTCCCTATTAGTCTGATGAGAAAGTCAGTGGCAGATCTGTGTGCGGGTCCTGCTGCTCAGGTGACCTTTCTATGATTTGTGATGTGACAGAAGCTCCTCCAAGCTGACGTGGATTAGCGACATGATGTGTGTTTTACTGTGAGACTGTCTGTAATAGTCAAGCGATGGGAAAAGTAGACAAGGCTTATATTACCAGTTTCGCAGCTTGAATTTTCCGGAAGAAAACATCTGTATCTTGTATTCTCTGTTATCATGCCTCTAATAATGAGTAGCTTGCTCTATCTTTGATTATGGATCACCTTCAGTTCTTTAAAATCTGCTGCATGGATGTACACAATGTATTTTTTCTAGAAGTGAACAAGTTAAAATTCAGTACATTTGACCTTAGTCCTTGCCTGGAATAAATTTTAGAAACTGATCCAGTGTTTTTGTTCATGTCTAAAATTGGTGAGCTCTTGTACACCAACAACATACACTGGGTATTTGACCATTGATAATTATTTACCTGTGCAGCACAGGGGAAAGGGACCTGGGGGTCCTGGTGGACAGCAGGATGACCATGAGCCAGCAATGTGCCCTTGTGGCCAAGAAGGCCAGTGGCATCCTGGGGTGTATTAGAAGGCATGTGGTTAGTAGGTCGAGAGAAGTTCTCCTCCCCCTCTACTCTGCCCTGGTGAGGCCGCATCTGGAATATTGTGTGCAGTTCTGGGCCCCTCAGTTCAAGAAGGACAAGAAACTGCTTGAGAGCGCCCAGTGCAGGGCCACAAAGATGATGAAGGGAGTGGAGCATCTCCCTTATGAGGAAAGGCTGAGGGTCTCTTTAGCTTGGAGGAGATTGAGGGGGGACCTCATTAATGTTTATAAATACGTAAAGGGTGACTGTCATGAGGATGGAGCCAGGCTCTTCTCACTGGCATCCAATAATAGGACAAGGGGAAATGGATATAAGCTGGAACATAGGAGGTTCCGCTTAAACATGAGGAAGAACTTCTTCCCAGTAAGGGTAACAGAACACTGGAACAGGCTGCCCAGAAAGGTTGTGGAGTCTCTTTCTCTGGAGATGTTCAAAACCTGCCTGGACGTGTTCTTGTGTGATCTGATCTAGGTGGTCCTGCTCTGGCAGGGGGATTGGAGTAGACGATCCTTTGAGGTCCCGTCCAATCCCTAACATTCTGTGATTCTGTGATTTACTTCACTAAACTTCTGTAGACTTGACTTGTGATTCAGCAGGTTATTTAAATGTATGCCTAACTTTGTGAGTAATCCTTTTTAATTCATTTCAGCGTCTTATGTAAGTAGCTTACTGTAAGCAAGCTAAATTAGGTGTATGCTAAAATGCCTGTCAAATGGCAGCCTTTATAAATATGAATTGTTTTTTAAATTTTTTTACATTAAGCCATGGTTCAGCATTAAGTGTCCTGGGGTCTCTTTTTTAGAAAATGATTCTTCAGGCTAATCAGCTACAGGAAATTCCCCCCAAATTGAAAAGAAATGAAGAAAGTGTCAGACTTTGATCTCTAGTGGTAGCATTGACCTAAAGATAAACATGATCTTAGTCTAATGGGTTTTCATTAGTGCAGACGTGGGTTTTTTTTGAGAAGTAGTGTGTAACATATTAGTCTTGAAAGAAATGTTATTGCAAGATTTTTAAGGAAAGGAAGTGTGTGCTTTCCTCCTCGGTGACATGCAGAGTAGAAGGTGAAGCTGATTAGCTTTGACTCGACTTCTCAATAAAAGTGCTCTGTGATGACAATTAAAAAGCCACCAAACAGTCAAAAAATGTTAATTATAAAAAAGCCAACTATATTATTGGGATGAAGCCCTGGAGGGGAAGAGAGGCCCAGGAAAGCTGGTTATTTTTCAAGGATCACCTCCTCCAAGCTCAGGAGTGGTGCATCCCAACAAAGAGAAGGTCGGGCAGAAACACCAGGAGGCCTGCATGGATGAAAAAGTTGCTCCTGGACAAACTGAAGCACAAAAGGGAAGCCTACAGAGGGTGGAAGCAGGGACAGTTAGCCTGGGAGGAATACAGAGAAATTGACCGAGCAGCCAGGTTAGGAAAGCTAAAGCCCTGATAAAATTAAATCTGGCCACGGACATCAAGGGTAACAAGAAAAGCTTCTATAGGTACGTCAGTGAGAAAAGGAGGACTAGGGAAAATGTGGGCCCTCTCCAGAAGGAAATGGGAGACCTGATAACCTGGGATATGGAGAAGGCTGAGGTACTCAATGACTTTTTTACCTCAGTCTTTAGTGGCAAGTGCTCTAGCTGTACTGCCCAAGTCACAGAAGGCAAAGGCAGGGACTGGGAGAATGAAGAACTGCCCACTGTAGATGTTCAGGTTCGAGACCATCTAAGGTGTCTGGAGGTACACAAGCCCATGGGACCTGATGAGATGCATCCATGAAGGAGCTGAAGGAACTGGCAGATGAAGTTGCTAAACCATTATCCAGAAATAGTGGCAGTCTAGTGAAGTTCCCACCAACTTGGGGAAAACAGAGCCCCCATTTTTAAAAAGTGAAAAAAGGAACATGCAGAGAACTACAGGCCAGTCAGTCTCACCTCTGCGCCCAGTAAGATCATGGAGCAGGTCCTCCTGGCAACTATGCTAAGGCATGTGGGAGATAAGGGGGTGCTTGGTGACAGCCAACATGGCTTCACTAAGGGCAAATTGTGCCTGACAAACTTGGTGGCTTTCTACGATGGGATTACAGTGTTGGCGGATAAGGAAACAGCAACTGACGTGGTCTACCTGGACTTGTCCAAAGCATTTGACACTGTCCCACATGACCTCCTTATCTCTAAATTGGAGAGATGCGGATTTGGTGGATGGACCACTTGATGGATAAGGAATGATTGAACTCAAAGAGTTATGGTCAACGGCTTGCTGTCCAAGTGGAGGCCAGTGACAAGTGGTGTTCCTTAGGGGTCAGTACTGGGGCCAGTGCTGTTTAACATCTTTGTCAGTAACATGGACAGTGGGATCAAGTGCACTGTCAGCAAGTTTGCTGACAACACCAAGCTGTGTAGTGTGGTCGAAACGCTGGAGGGAAGGGATGCCATCCAGAGGGACCTCGACAGGCTGGAGAGATGGGCCTGTGAGAACCTCATGAAGTTCAACAAGGCCAAGTGCAAGGTCCTGCACATGGGTCTGGGCAATCCCAAGCACAAATACAGACTGGACGGAGAGTCGATTGAGAGCAGCCCTGAGGAAAATTACATGGGAGTGTTGATTGATGAGAAGCTCAACACGAGCTGGCAATGTGTGCTTGCAGCCCAGAAAACCAACCATGTCCTGGGCTGCATCAAAAGAAGCATGGCCAGCAGGCCGAGGGAGGTGATTCTGCCCCTCTACTCTACTCTCGTGAGATCCCACCTGGAACACTGCATTCAGCTCTGGAACACAAGAAGGACATGGAGCTACTGGAACAAGTCCAGAGGAGGGCCACGAAGATGATCCGAGGGCTGGAGCACCTCTCCTATGAAGACAGGTTGAGAGAGTTGGGGCTGTTCAGCCTGCAGAAGAGAAGGCTCTGGGGAGACTTTCTAGCAACCTTCCAGTACTTAAAGGGGCCTACAGGAAAGCTGGAGAGGGACTTTTTACAAGGGCATGTAGTGATAGGACAAGGGGCGATGGATTTAAACTGAAAGAGGGTAGATTTAGGTTAGATAGAAGGAAGACAGTTTTTACATTGAGGGTGGTGAAGCACTGGAACATGTTGCCCAGAAGGACGCGGATGCCCCATCCTGGAAGTGTTCAAGTCCAGGCTGGATGAGGCTTTGAGCAACCTAATCCAGTGGAAAGTGTTCCTGCCCATGGCAGGGTGTTGGAACTAGATAATCTTTAAAGTCCCTTCCAACCCAAACGTTTGTGTGATTCTATTAAAAAATGGTAACCATGTAACTCAGTTGAAGAAACACATGGAAAATCTTTCTCCCTGTTCTAGGTTTGTGGTGGTTTTGTTTATAAGGGTGATTTGGAACATCCACAATTGTATGGGAAGGACATGACAACCTTTCTGTCTACCCCCTACCCACCTCACTCCAGGATATGAGTGCTGGGTATATTAGGTCACATGACTCTGCAATTGTGTGTGTCTATTTTTTCCCCTGTGCATTCCTCTAGTGAGTACAGTAGCTACTATTGGCCTCAAACAGCTGGATATCTTCTTAGTGGTTAGTCTAATCCTCTGTGGTATTTTCCTTTTATGCTTGTGGTTCTCTGAAGGTGAATGTCTTTCCCAGCATAGTTTCCACCTGTCAAGTATGTTTAGCATTCATTACCCCCTCTTCTTCTCCCTACATATATTCTTATAGGGTCCTATTTTTCCCTTGAAGTGCAACATGTCTCTCAAACGAGTGTGGTGGAAGAAGTCACATATGTTTTCTTTCGTTAGGAAAACGCTATCCCCAGCCTTCAGCCACGACCCTCATATGAAGGGTGACTGCATTCTTCTTGAAAGCCATGCTTGCCTCCTTGCTTAATATTGTGTTTCTGTGTGATAGCCTGGAGCAATGCAGTGTCAATTAAACCGTGCCACAGCATGGATGTAAGAGTGTCACTGTTGTGAATTTAATTCTCATAGAAACTTCAGAACAGAGAAATTGAGAGGGGAAAAAAAACCCCCACAAACCAACAATGAAAACAAAGGTGGTCTGATTCAAAACCAAGGCAATGCTAGCAGCTTGTAGAATATTCTTTTTGCACTGCTAGAGGCTGTTGAAATGAAACAGCTCACGTTCTTCATCACGGCTTTGTATCAACTCTTCATTATTATGTTTGATTTAGGCTGACTCGCAAGTTGTTCAGAAGTGGATGGATGGTGTGAAAGACTTCTTAATGACAGAAAAGGCTGTTCAAGGAGATACTGAAGGACTTCAAAGACAACTTGACCAGTGCACAGTAAGTTTTGCTCTGTTAAGGAATCTTTTGAAATAACTAATGACTAACATCTCTTCTTTGTTAGTTTGCTCCTATGGTTAAAATATTGTCCATGGCATGTTCCATAAAACCTGCCAGAAAAATTGTCCTATTTCTTCAGGGCACATTTTAATTGGTTCCTCATGTATAGCCATAACACTCTGTACTTTTCAAAGGTCTTCACCATATTTACAAATGCTCATCTACGAGATGACATTAGTTTCTCTGAAATGTTTATGTATTTCTCCCAATTTCATGATTAGGGAATTGAATCTGTGAGTGAAAAGAGCTTTCTGCATTAAACTTCCAAGGACAATTAAAATAACAAGCAAATAACTCTGACGAAATTTCTAGGATTTAGGAGTTGTATGTGCCTTATATGTAAGACTTCTTACTAGCTAGTGGCACATAATGATCACAAATAGGTGGAATTTAATTTTATAGTAAGTGATTACAGTGTACCTTCAAATGTTTGTTTCTGAGAGAAGAATATGAGTCTGAGGTATGCCAGAAACATCAGGGTATGTAGTGCACGTCATCTTCAAGCTTGCATTGTTCTAGTTTTGACATTTGACGTGTAAGAATGTTTGCACTTTTTATGGCAAACTGTATTTTGATTTTTAGATGCATGGTTTTGATGTTTTGAGCCACTGAAGGATTGTTTTAAACAGTCTGATGTTGAACACAGCATCAATTTACTTTTTTATTAAAGTTTTTCTGGAATAATTAAGAATTGAAAAATTATCGTATAAATTTACATAATGTGTTGCTAAAGAAGAACGTTCGTTTTCTCTGATGTGTACTCAGATGTTTGTCAATGAAATGGAGAAGATTGAACCATCACTGAAAAAGATGAAAGAAGTAGAGTCTGCTTTAAGAGCTCAGCCTATCTCAGGCATAAATACTTGGGCAAAGTCTAGGCTAGTAGACTGCCAGAGTCAATGGGAGAAACTGAGCAAACAGGTGAGTTCTCCCTATGCTGCTAGAGCTTGCTCTTTGTTCGGTTGTGTGGCATTGGTAGGACGATGAAGAGGTGAAGCAGTGAAACAGTGGGACGAGTAAGTTTTACTTTTTCCACTGTCAAAGCGGCTGAAATCCAACTTGGCCCAGGGAATCCTTCAGAAGTGCAAATATTATAGGAGATAACTATGCAACAGCAGTTTTGTTTGAACACATGCACTTCTCAGTACCTAAGAGTTTACTTTGATCCTTCCAATTTAATTGTAACTGAAATTTAATTCATTCTCTTTGCCTCATGCTGCTCTTTCTGGGGTGGCTGGGGGAAGTCTGACCATTTTGTTATTCCTGAAGTCTGGAATATTCTTCTGGCCCTGTGTGATTTCTGCCTTCTTCCAAGCAGCTTTGAAAAATAAATTACTATAAATAGACTACCACTTCAGTCTGGTTTCATTGATTGTTTCTTTTGGATGGAAGCTTCCTGCTGTCTGTAGAAAGTTCTTTAGATGCAATGGCAACTAAGAGGATTTGTGAGGATTTGTGTTGGAGAACCTTGCTGTTGATATATCTAGATTGCCTGAGCTGTGGGAAGAAGTGAGGCTTGAAGGATGTTTTAGTGCTCTACAGAAAGACGTAACTAACTATATGATAATTGTGATCAGAAAAGGTTTTTTCAATCTGACTTTTCCCAGGAATTATTACCAGTTTACATGTAATGAGGAAAAAAAAAAAGGTAATTTTTCTCCTTCCATCACCTCTGAATTTTGTTGATACACTAAAAAGAGATCATGAGTTCATGCGTGTGTAAAAGTCTTTTGTTAGTTAAAAAGACTCGAGAATATTTTGGTAGTAAAATGTTTTAACAAAGACTTGTGGTTTTTCATGTATACAAGGGCATTTAAGTAACAAAATTGCTGTTTCTTTCTCCACCTTGGATTCTAGATCATTAGTCAGAAAAATCGCCTGTCTGAAAGTCAGGAAAAAGCTGTAAATCTGAAGAAGGATTTGGCAGAGATGCAAGAATGGATGACCCAAGCTGAAGAAGAATATTTGGAGAAAGATTTTGAATACAAGTCCCCTGAAGAGCTAGAGAACGCGGTGGAGGAAATGAAGGTCAGGAATACCAGGTCATCATAGAGACCTGATTAAAGAGAAGTAGAACATGATGGCTTTAGGGGTTGACCTTTTGTGGATTTATTATCTGTGTGGAAAGGAGCTCAGGTCATGACGAGATTAGTGATGTTTTTCTGCTTTGCTTTGTGGAATTTTTATTTTTAAAGCACAAACTATAAAAGCAGATGTTCTATTTGGCCACGAGGGGTAGGGATGTCATAATGAATAGCAGCTTGCCCAGCTGTTGAGCCAGGCTTGCTATTCATGGCATATTAAACACTAAGAATATGGAAACTTATTGCAGGAGATGAAACTTGAGAAAGAAAGAAAAGGTGATATTATACCTGTCTAAATTAGCGATTGTGAAAACATATTCTTCTGCTTTGAGCTGTTGAGTTTCAGTTTCTTATCGCCTAGATATAGCAACTCCACATTTAGAAAAGCAGTCTAAAACAGTTCTGTTGAGGTTATCTTGTGTTCCTCATTTGTGGCAAACAGTGATACTGGTGTCTGCTTCTCTAATTTTGGGACTAGTGACCAAAAAAATGGAGAGGAAGGAGCTATTTTTGTCTCATTATAAATTAGTAGTTAAAAAGATAATTTTCTTGGATGTATGTACAAAGTAAACTATTCTCTCTGCTTTTAAGTCTGAGAGTTCAGGCATATCTTTGCAAACGTTTTGACTTGTATGCACATTATTTAAATGAGTATTCACTACACTGTTACTCAGTGGAGCATAAAATAAAGAATTTTTACTCCCTTACAAGTGCTTTGACAAATCTATTTCAAGTTTTGAATTGTTCTTTTTGAAGGAACTTTCTGAAGTAGTCTTTAACAAGTGCTTTAATATATTCATGTTCTTTGAAGCCATTTGAGATCACATAGTTTGACAGCCTGTTGAACACAAGCCAAGAAAAGAACGAACCCTCTTTTCATTGGCAAATCTGAGACTTTGAGCTCATTTACCTCTGTCAAATCCAGATTATATTCTGTACTTTTAAATTTGGCAGATATGTCAGTGAGCCATTAAGCTTACTGTGTAACACTTGCATATCCTCTTGCGTTTGCAGTAAGAATACTATGCTGGGACTACTTTAAGACTGGGAGAGAACACTCTCTATGTATTTGACCAGAAGCATTTTGCATAAGGTTTTGAAGAACTCTTGAGCTCGCCCAATTTTGCTGTCCTTTGAACCAAGAGTGGAACTCCTGCTGATATTTGAAGGGAGTAGCTTTAAGATGAGGCTAGGTGGTTTTTGATAATTCTGCCATAAAATAACATGTTCCTCAGATTTTCCATTCTTTGCCCTTCCATTAACTGGCTTTTTTTTTTTTTGATTGCCTTACATTTAGAAGACATCTCAAACAATATGTTCAACAATAATGCTGTCATGTACTAAATTCTACCATAAAGTGCAGTGCCTTATATGTCAGAGGTACTTCAACTTCATAAAACTGCCCTTGAAACCTGAAAAGAAAGACGTATGAGACAGTCTCTATTTCTGGAGCCCTGTATTTGTCTCTACAGAGACAAGCTTGGACTGATCTGCATGATCTGTGTTCCAGCTATCCTGCTTTCTGAATTCTGGTTAGGGCAAAATTCCACAACTGACGGTATGATTTCTCCAGACCTGTGGGTGGGAAGTTGTACTGGACTTATCCTGTATATTTGTTACGAAGCTCTTCTGAGTGCAGTTGGGTTGAAGGAATTCTTCCGGTTGTCCTTTTTGCATGTTCCTCTAGTGCACCCAACAGCTGTGTAAGAGGTCCCAACTTTGTAGTTGTAAGTGTCCCAGATAATTACTTCATCTTTCCTGGATAACTATGGGAGATAGTTACTGAGCTCTGAGTCTCATAACTTTTGTAAATTCACCCTACGTTTTTCTGCCCAATATGTTTGGTTTTAGCAAGCCTCTATCTTTTTTTTTCTGGTTCATTTCCCTTTTTCATATCTGTATACCAGTGTATAAATAGCACTAAACGTAATCTTTTTTGCTTTGAGTCATGGATTTTTAATGAACAAACCGTAAATGGTAAATATGTCTGTATGTTTAATAAAACAGGATTTTTCAGCACTTACTAAAATAACTTGAATTCCATGGAAGTTAGTGCCATATTTTGTTGTGCTTAAATCCAAGGATACTTTGGTAGCAACACTTCCAAGATTAAATGGCTGATCTTTGATTTGCGTGGTGAATAACTGACCATATGGCAATTGAGGTCTGATCATGTAATACATTTCTTTGGGCAGAGAGCGAAGGAGGATGTGTTGCAGAAGGAAGTGCGGGTGAAGATTCTCAAAGACAACATCAAGATGTTGGCCGCCAAAGTGCCCTCTAGTGGTCAGGACCTGGCGACTGAGCTGAACGTTGTGCTGGAGAACTACCAGCTACTGTGCAATCGGATCCGGGGGAAATGCCACACTTTGGAGGTAAGAATGATAGCTCTCAGTAAAACGGGAGTAGGTGGCAGAAGAGGAATGGAGAAGGACCACTGAAAACGTCCAATTTTGTCACCGAATCCAATAGCTCTGGCATAAACACGTTTTGCTGTGGCTCCTTTCCAAGACTTGTTTCCCTTGAGATGACATCTTTGGAATCCATGACACACCATCCAACTTTGTTTTTATAATCTGTATTGTAATCAACACTTGCACAAACAAATAACCTTGTCTCACAGCTCTGTTATCCATCTGTGTTTCTTCCAAAATGACAAAAAGAAATTTCTTGGGAGATTAAAGGTTGAAATATGAGGATGATTAGAACAGGTTGATTATAGTTTGGGGTAGGTTGTGTATGTTGTATCTTTCAAGAGGAATGGACGCATTTTATTACATTCTTAAATTGTTATAAGGAATCTGGATGTCAGTGATAATTTTAGCATGAGTTTAGAGACATCTATGTATATTTTGCATGTTTCTTTATCTTGCTGCTATAGTTGCACATTTTTCTATCTAGAACTTACTGTGTCATGGCATGATTTTGAATATTTACTTACTAACCTATTTTATGCGATTGTCTCAAACATTATTTCTTCAAGCTGTTCATAGGGTACATGAGCTATTCTTGGCATTCTAGGCTAATTTATATTTTTTCTGTTGCTCCTAGGAGGTGTGGTCCTGTTGGATTGAGCTACTTCAGTATCTTGATTTAGAAACGGCTTGGCTAAACAGTCTGGAAGAAAGGGTACAAATGACAGAAAATCTGCCTGATAAGTTGGATACTGTCAGTGATGCTCTTGAGGTATTATAGTCATTCTATCAGACCAGTAACTTTTCAGGTAGCCCCGTTTAAAAAAAACATAAATTCTACACTTCAGCAGAATACTGAAATATGTATTGAATATGATGATTCTTCAGGTTAAATGAACATATTACTCTGAATTTGGAATGGATATTTGTAAGTTCCTCCAACAAAAGCTGAATTTTGCTGTACATAATTGTGCCATATTTGGTACTGTGATAGAATTGTATGCTGTCTCCTGTCCTGTGTAGATTTATTAATTCCTTCCAGCACTATAGTATGAAATGATGTGAATAGGTGAGAAGTGCTGTGAAGTTTAATTATCTAAAGCAAAATGACCACTGTATTTGCCTTGTGCCATCATGGATTAAGCCATAACTAATTCATGCTTTTAGAGCACTCTCAAAACATTTAAAGCATAAAACTTCTGCACGTGCAGCCAGACTTCCACCTCTGAAAACGCAGTATTATTCAGTGTCTTGACCTTTAAAACTTTCTCTTCTAATTAGTCCCTGGAATCAGTCCTGCGTCATCCAGCTGATAATCGAACCCAGATTCGGGAACTTGGGCAGACCCTGATTGATGGAGGAATTCTTGATGATATCATCAGTGAAAAATTGGAGGCTTTCAATGCCCGCTATGAGGAATTGAGTCATTTGGTAAGAATTTGGGGGCAGGGTTGAAATAGACTGAGTTTTTCAGCTCAGTGGTCTGAAATGATTCCTGTTAGATAGCTGAATTCACAGATGCAGGACAGCAATACAGGAAGAGAGGAAAAACCTTCACAATGTTGTCAGCTGTTTTCAATTTGGAATAATGCCCTAAGAGCAAGGTACTTCTTTTTCCTGACTTGTCGTGGTTTTGTATTGCACACTTGCACACCCTTGCATTGCGAGGACCCCTGGTATTTTTCCAGGTAATTTTTGACAAAAAGGCAATTCTAGTCTCAAGGAGGACAGTTCAATAACTGAGGTTAATATTCCCTTCCTACTGCCATAAATACTGGTGAGCTGCTCACTAACTGTAAAAATGAGGAACATGAATAAGTATTATTTTCACTTTTGAAATGGCTAGGAAGAAGTCACACTGAAATCAGGAACAGAAGGAAAACATTCTTCTCATTCCTCATCTGTTACGCTGTCCTGTTCCTCTTCTCATACTTTCTCATAATCTTTTATAGATTTAATAAGTAGAGGAGGACTAGCTGTATTTCAGGTTGCATAAAGTTTTAACTTGTGTTCTGTATCCTGGCAATACAGGCCCCTGCCAAATTGTAGGATGGAAGGTTTTTTCCCTATCATTGCCAAAGTGTAGTCATAGAGGGAATTTCAATTCATCCTCATTACAGCGAGCAACATGAATGCAGTGCCCTCAGCTGGGGACTACATGCTGTCATTTAAGTTAGCATTCACTGTTGTTTTTCCTGTTACAAGAGTACTTTATTGCCATATAAAAACTATCTGCTTTGGCAGCTGCAGTGCTGACACACTGGGCTGTTGATGACTTTCCACATCTCTGTGTGTGTATGTATGCACCCATTGGCCTGTGCGTGTGCTGATAGTGGGGAATTTCTGTTCCCATGCAAATGGTGACATTTCAGATAAACTTAGGAGTTTTGCTGTTGAAGGAAGCGGCAGCAGAGGGAAGGAACTGTGAACCTCTGTTTTCACGCTCTAACAGAAAGACGGAGTTTATTGTTTTGGAAGAAAATGTGCAAGTTTACATATCAAACAATAATGATCTGTAGTGTATTACAAAGCCCTTGATTTCCATTGACTGGCTAGTTTTTGAAACCAGTATGTTTTTAACAGAATACTTTCTTCCTGAGGTGATAGGAGACACCTGTTTTCACTATCCTGTATATCTAGGAGCAGAACTCTTCTCTTATGCCACTGTTTGTCAGTTACCAGTAGAAATCACAGCAGGCTTCAAAAATTGCTGTCTTCTAGGGCTTGCTTTTGCTCTTTTTAGACAGTCTTCATGCATAGGGTTTTTTGTCTCTTCCACCTTGTTTTGAGAAAGTTTAACATAATTAGTATTGAATTACTGCTCCATCTTGTGTCTTACCTTTCTGTCCCACTCAGGCGGTAAGCCGGCAGATTGCCTTGGAACAGCAGCTTCAAACCATGCGAGAAACCGACCACATGTTGCAGGTCTTGCAGGAGAACTTAGCGGAGCTGGATAGACAGCTGACGTCTTACCTAACTGATAGGGTAGATGCCTTTCAGATGCCCCAGGAGGCTCAGGTATTCCAGTATGGCTTTTTACTCCAAAACGTTTTGAAATATCTCATGATAGTGCTCAGCCTAGACTTAGTGATTCATGAAGGCTTCATTTCAGACCTGTGCTGATGTACTAGGTATTGGTATCTCTTGTAATCTGGTTTATTTTCCTGTTTTAAGAAGGTTGCATTCAATAACAATCTTAACGGTTTTCCATTTGGCAAGCCGGCACCAGAGCCAGAATATTTAAAATAAACCTGGTAGTTTTTAACTTCTACAGAGTTGGATTTGCTTCTGGTGGGTAGTGGGTGGTAAATTTCTCTTCCCTTCTCTGCAAGCCATCTTGTGACATATTTTTTTCCTATTTCTATGACATGGCAGAAAATTCAAGCTGAGATTGCAGCTCATGAATCCACTTTAGAGGAGCTCAAGAAAAGTGCTCGC